TGCCTGTCCTTTTTTCCGTTTTTTTTAAAATTCTGGGCCAGCTTTAGCTCTGAGGCTTGGCTCCAGCTATGAGACCTACGCTGCTGAAACAGGTTTCTGGCCTTTGTTTACCCTTCTGTATTTGAAACAATGTTGCGGTCCTGCTGGCTGAAGCCCGGGGTTTTGTTTAGCTTCTATTTTTGTAACATAGTTGCTTAGAGTGCAGCTGAGAGGTCAGCAAGGCAGGCGGGGAAGCTTGGCTTCCTCTGTCGCTAAAGCAAGCAAGCCTCATGTTAGCTTCCAGCTGCCTGGCTGCCGGCCACCTCAGTTAATTTGCATATTGCCTTGATTAGCCAATGGGAAGGGTAGCGGTCGTACACTAATTACCATGTTTCTCTTTTATTAGATAGGATAGAGCTATTATTTTTTTTAAAGCTAGTGAGTCTAAGAACTCATTCCTTTTTTCGAAAGTTCATATTGCCTAAGTGCAAAGAATATAAATAATTTTTGGTAATTGATAAGCTGGCTTCCTGATTTCTAAAAGGATTGACACATTTTTTATTAGATCAATAGTCTCTTTAGTTGCCAGTTAACTTCTCAAAAACACTTCCCTTTCATCCTTGCACTGAAATTGTGTAGGGTTAAAACAGGGATGTAGGAAGATGAGAACCAAAAGGAAGGGAATTGTGTCAGGGGTCACCAAGACTACCCACACTCAGAGAGTTGCTAAAAGGATTCATGGAACTCAGCATATAATTGAACACATGGCTAAGGCTTATTACAGTGATATAGTATGCTGGATCACAGGGGAAAAGATGTAGGCAGAGTCTGGAGAAATCCATACATAATCATGTCCTGCTTAACAATAAGAACACATTCTGGGAAATGTGTCATTACTCAATTTCACTGTACAAACATTGCAGGGTGCACTTACACAAACCTCGATGGTATAACCTACTACACACCTAGGCTGTATGGTATATAGCCTATTGCTTCTACAAGCCTGTACCGCGTGTTACTATACAAAACAACACAAGATTCAATCAAGCACTAGAGAAAATGACACAATGAAGAGATGGAGTAAACACAAGATGTGCTGGCATAACACACTGATTATAGCAAACTTGTGTTTTCTTAATTACAGTTTACAATCAATATTATTTTGTATTAGTTCCAGGTGTATAGCATACACAGTTATTAAAATATTATTGACGCCGAAACCGGTTTGGCTCAGTGGATAGAGCGTCGGCCTGCAGACTGAAAAGTCCCAGGTTCGATTCCGGTCAAGGGCATATACCTGGGTTGCGGGCACATCCCCAGTATGAGATGTGCAGGAGGCAGCTGATCGCTGTTTCTCTCTTTATGAACCAGGAGGTCACAGTTCGATTCCCAGTGAGGGCACATGCCCTGGTTTCGGGCTTGATTCCCAGTGTGGGACCTGCAGGAGGCAGCCGATCGATGATTCTCTCTCATCATTGATGTTCCTATCTTTCTCTCCCTTTCCTTCCTCTCTGAAACTAAATAAAATATTTTTTAAAAAATAAAATAAAATATTATTGACTATATTTCCTATGTTGTACTTGACATCCCCATGACTATTTTGTAACTACCAATTTGTACTTCTTAATCCCTTCACCCAGCCCCCAATTCTCCTCCCCTCAGCAGCCATCAAAATGTTCTCTGTATCTAAGAGTTTGTTTCTGTTCTGTTTGTTTACTTTGTTCTTTACATTCCACATATAAGTGAAATCATATGATATTTGTCTTTTTCTGTCTTACTTATTCTACTTAGCACTAGGCCCATCCATGCTGTTGCAAATGGCAAGATTTAATTCTTTTTTATGGCTGAGTAATATTTCATTGCAATAGAGAAGCGGATTTTTAATCTCCTCTATTGATGAACACTTGTGTTGCTTTCATATCTTGGCTATTGTAAATAATGCTAAAGTGAACATAAGGTGCATGTATTTTTTGGAATTGGTTTTTTAGATTGCTTTAAATAACTATCCAGAAGTGGAATTTGCTGGGTCGAAAGGTAGTTCTATTTTTAGTTTTTTGAGGAACCTCCATATTGTTTTCCACAATGGCTATACCAATTTGTAATCCATTTATTGAATAGACTGTTTCTATCTTACTGTATGTTCACCTCCTCACCAATACTTGTTTGTTGATTTACTGATGATGGCCATTCAGACAAGTGTATGGTGATATCTCATTGTGATTTTAATTTGCATCTCTCTGATGATTAGTGATGTTGAGCTTCTTTTCAAGTCTATTGGCCATCTGTATATTCTCTTTGGAGAAATGTCTTTTTAGGTCCTGTTCCCACTGTTTTGTTTTTTTTAACATATTGTTTATTGATTTCAGAGAGGAAGGGAGAGAGAGAGAGACAGAAACATCAATGATGAGAGAGAATCATTGATCATTGATCATTGATCAGCTGTCTCCTGCATGCCCCACACTGGAGATCAAGCCCCCAACCTGGGCATGTGCCCTGACCAGGAATCCAACTGTGACCTCCTGATTCATAGGTTGACGCTCAACCACTGAGCCATGCCAGACAGGCCCACTTTTTAATTGGATTGTTTGTGTTCTGGTGTTGAGCTGTATGAGTTCTTTATAAATTTTAGATATTAGCCCCTTCTTGGATATATCATTGGCAAATAACTTTTCCCATTCAGTAGGTTGTCTTTTTGTTTTGTTGGTTTCCTTTACTAGTCAAAAACTTTTTAGTTTGATGTAGTCCCATTTGTTTACTTTTTCTTTTGTTTCCCTTGCCCAAGGAGATGTATCAGAAACATATTTCTAAGAGAAATATCAGAGATTTTATTGCCTATGCCTTCTTCTAGGAGTTTTATGGTTTCAAGTCTTATATTTAAGTGTTTAATCCATTTTTTAGTTTATTCTTGTATCTGGTGTAAGAAGGTGGGTCTAGTTTCATTTTTTTGCATGTATCTGTACAATTTTCTCATCACCACTTATTGAATAGACTGTTTTTACCTTATTGTATGTTCTTGCCTCCTTTGTCATATTAAAAGACCATATGGTAATCAATTTATTTATGAGCTCTCTATTCTGTTTCATTGATCTATATGTTCGTTTTTATGCCAATACCAAGCTGCTTAGATTACTATGGCCTTGTAGTATAGTTTAATATCAGGTACTGTGCTACTTCCAATTTTGTTCTTCTTTCTCAAGATTGCTGTAGCTATTTGGGGACTTTTGTGGTTCCATATAAATTTTTGGATTATTTGTTCTAGTTCTGTGAAAAACGCCTTTGGTATTCTGTTAGGAATTGCATTGAATCTATAGATTGCTTTGGGTACTATGGACATTTTAACGATGTTAATTCCTCCTATCCGTGAGCATGCTTTCATTTATTTGTATCTTCTTCAATTTCTTTCTTCAGTGTCTCATAACTTTTTGAGAACAGGTCTTTTACCTCTGTGGTTATATTTATTCCTAGGTATTTTTTAATGCAATTGTAAATGGGATTGTTTTCTTCATTTCTCTTCCTGGTAGTTCATTATTAGTGTATAAAAATGCAACCAGCCCTGACCGGTTTGGCTCAGTGGCTAGAGCGTCGGCCTGTGAACTCAAGGGTCCCAGGTTCGATTCTGGTCAAGGGCATGTACCTTGGTTGCAGGCACATCCTCAGTGGTAGGTGTGCAGGAGGCAGTTGACCAATGTTTCTCTCTCATCGATGTCTCTAACTATCCCTCTCCCTCCTCTCTGTAAAAAAAATCAATAAAATATATATTTTTTTAAAAATGCAACCAATTTCTGAATATTTATTTTGTATCCTGCTACTTCACTGAATTCATTTATCAGTTCTAGTAGTTTCTTGGGGGGAATCTTTAGGATTTTCTATACATTTATCATATCATCTGCAAATAATAATGACAGTTTTACTTCTTCCTTTCCAATTTGGATGCCTTTTATTTCTTCTTATCTAATTGCTGTGGCTAGGACTTCCAGTACTATGTTTAATAAGAGTGGTAAAAATGGACACTCCTGAATTTGCTCCTGAACTTAGGGAAAATGCTTTTAGTTTTTCCCCATTGAGTAGGATGTTAGCTGTGGGTTTGTTGTATATTATGCTCTATTTCCATTTTGTTGAACCCAGTGGATAGATTCAGACTACATCAGAATACAACCTGAATAGCTCCACAAGCCGCATACCCAAATGGAGGTCTCGGCAGGTACCAGACCCCACTGGGGCTAATTCCACTTTGAGGAGTCAGCTCCTCTCCTTCCCCCTACACCCCCAGCTGCTTGTACACTGTGATCAGGGTCATTTCTCATTGTCAACCAGCCTTAGGGTAAACCCCACCCACAAATGGACCAAATGCAACCAAGACTCATCTACAACAGGAAGGCTCACAAAACCCACACAGAGACATTCTTAGAGATCAGAGAGGCTGCACCACTGAGCCCCACAGGGCACCTACTACATAAGGCCACCTACCACAGCTGGGAGGCATAGCAGATCTACCTAATACACAGAAACAAATACAGAGAGGCAGCCAAAATGGGGAGACAAAGAAACATGTCCTAAATGAATAAACATGAGAAATCTTAAAACACACACACAAACACACACACAAACACACACACACACACAACTAAATAAAATGGAGGCAAGCAATATACCAGATACAGAGTTCAAAACAAGGTTTTAAGGATGCTCAATGAACTTAGGAAAAGAATGGATGAGCTCAGTGAGAACTTCAATAAATAAATAATAAACATTAAAAAAAAGGACACTTAAAACCTTAAGAAAGAACCATTCAGAAATGACAAATACACTATCTGAAATGAAATCTACACCAGAAGGAATCAACAGCAGATTATATGAAGCTGCTGTCCCTCCACAGGAGCTCAGAACAAGTGCCCACAAATGAGGTTTTGTGTGCTGGCCCTTTAAGAGAGCATCTGATTTTCTAACAGTCTCTTGTGTCACCTGGGGAAGACAGAATCCCTAGTGATTTTCACAGCCAGATGTTATGTGGGCTGCTCTTCCTGATTCTCATGCTCCAGGCTAGGGAGCCCAGCATGGGGTTGAGATCCCTCTCTCCTCAGGGGGGACCCCTGCAGCTTAGGTATCCCTATGGATTTTCAATCATCGCATGTGGGTGTGGGCTCAGCCCTTTTGGCATCTCCTCCTTCCTACCAGTCTCCATGTGGTTTCTTCTGAATATCCTTAGTCATAAGATTTCTGTTTACCTAATCTTAAGATGGTTATCCAGCCGAGACCGGTTTGGCTCAGTGGATGGAGCGTCGGCCTGCGGACTGAAGGGTCCCAGGTTCGATTCCGGTCAGGGGCATGTACCTTGGTTGCAGGCACATCCCCAGTGGGGAGTGTGCAGGAGGCAGCTGGTCGATGTTTCTCTCTCATAGATGTTTCTAACTCTCTATCTCTCTCCTTTCCTCTCTGTAAAAACTCAATAAAATATATTTAAAAAAAAAAAAAGATGGTTATCCAGGTTGATTGTTCTATAATTTAGTTGTAATTTTGATATGGTCCTGTCAGGAAGTGAATGTAACTTCTACCTTCTCTCCCACCATCTTGGATCCAAAACTTGTTTCTTTTGTAACTGAAAAGAACACATTATAAAATAGTGATTAAAAATATAGCATAGTAAACACATAGTTGTTTTTATCATGATCACATATTATGTCCTCTATGTGCATAACTGTACATGCTATACTTTTTATATGACTAGCAGTGCGGTGGTTTTGTTTACAACAGCACCATCACAAATGCATGAGTAATGCATTGCTTGACTTTACAGTTGCTAGGATGTTACTAGGTGATGGAATTTTTCAGCTCCATTATAATCGAATGGAACCACCACAGTCTATGCAGTCCATTGTTGACTGAAACATCGTTATGTGGTGCATGACTATACAGCCTTCCTCATGCTTGGTCCTTTCCATGAAGGGTCACAGAGAGTACATTCTTCCCTCACAAAGAAAATGTGGCAAAATGTGTACCAGGTTTCTGCCCAGGGAAACGAGGCCAAGACTTCAAAGTCAAGGTTGTAATTGGTAGCTGTGCACATAGCACCTTAAGCTTAGTACATGAACCAAATATATAGTCCCAGAAGGAAAGCAAGTGTGCAGCATAAATCACATTGTTTGCTTAGTCTACACTCAGTGAGCAACCTCTATCAGTTGGGGAATAGTGGGAA